GGAACCGGGCAGTAGAGGCGGCTGTTCCCAGAGCGAGCGCTGTCTCCCGGGGGAGCCTGGATGGCGGAGGCCGACTGCGGGTTCTGGCGGGGCGGCCCAAGCTGCTCAGGGTGACCACCGCTTGCAAAAGCGGTTGCTGGCTCCGGGACTTGACTTCTGCACCCGCCGCGGTGCCACCTGTGGAGCCGGGTAGCTGTGGCCGCGTGGTTAGTGACCGGGCGGTAGAAGCGGCTGCTCCCAGAGCGAGCGCTATGCCTTCCGGGGGAGCCCGGATGGCGGAGGCCGACTGCAGGTTCGGGCGGGGCGGCCCAAGCCGCTCAGGGTGACCGCCGCGTGCAAAAGCGGTTGATGGCTCTGGGACTTGATTTCTGCACCCGCCGCAGTGCTACCTATGGAGGCAGATTGCTGCGTCCACATGGTTAGGGACCGGGCGGTAGAAGCGGCTGCTCCCAGAGCGAGCGCTATGCCTCCCGGGGGAGCCCGGATGGCGGAGGCCAACTGCGGGATCGGGCGGGGCGGCCCAAGCCGCTCAGGGTGACCGCCGCTTGCAAAAGTGGTTGATGGCTCCGGGACTTGATTTCTGCACCCGCCACGGTGCTACCTATGGAGCCGGGTAGCTGTGGCCGCGTGGTTAGGGACCGGGCGGTAGAAGCGGCTGCTCCCAGAGCGAGCGCTATGCCTTCCGGGGGAGCCTGGATGGCGGAGGCCGACTGCGGGTTCGGGCGGGGCGGCCCAAGCCGCTCAGGGTGACCGCCGCTTGCAAAAGCGGTTGATGGCTCCGGGACTTGATTTCTGCACCCGCCGCGGTGCTACCTATGGAGCCAGATTGCTGTGTCCGCATGGTTAGGGACCGGGCGGGAGAAGCAGCTGCTCCCAGAGCGAGCGCTATGCCTTCCGGGGGAGCCCGGATGGCGGAGGCCGACTGCGGGTTCGGGTGGGGTGGCCCAAGCCGCTCAGGGTGACCGCTGCTTGCAAAAGCGGTTGCTGGCTCCTGGACTTGATTTCTGCACCTGCCGCGGTGCTACCTCTGGAGCAGGGTAGCTGTGGCCGCGTGGTTAGGGATCGGGCGGGAGAAGCGGCTGCTCCCAGAGCAAGCGCTATGCCTCCCGGGGGAGCCCGGATGGCGGAGGCCGACTGTGGGATCGGGCGGGGCGGCCCAAGCCGCTCAGGGTGACCGCAGCTTGCAAAAGCGAATGCTGGCTCCGGGACTTGATTTCTGCACCCGCCGCGGTGCTACCTATGGAGCCGGATTGCTGTGGCCGCGTGGTTAGGGACCGGGCGGTAGAAGCGGCTGCTCCCAGAGCAAGCGCTATGCCTTCTGGGGGAGCCCGGATGGCGGAGGCCAACTGCGGGTTCAGGCGGGGCGGCCCAAGCCGCTCAGGGTGACCGCCGCTTGCAAAAGCGATTGCTGGCTCTGGGGCTTGACTTCTGCACCCACCGCAGTGCCACCTGTGGAGCCTGGTAGCTGCAGCTGCGTGTTTAGGGACCGGGTGGGAGAAGCGGCTGCTCCCAGAGTGAGCGCTATGTCTTCCGGGGAGCCCGGATGGGCGGGGCGGCCCAAGCCGCTCAGGGTGACTGCCGCTTGCAAAAGCGAATGCTGGCTCCGGGACTTGACTTCTGCACCCGCCGCTGAGTCCCCTGTGGAGCCGGGTAGCTGCGGCTACCGTGAGGTGGCTGCTCGCAAAGCGAGAGCTAGGCCTCCCTGGGGAGCCCCTTGCCGGAGTGGCTAATGTCTGCGGGACTAGACCTCTGTGTCCGAGTGGCCGTCCAAGATCCACTTCTCTGGGACAAACTGTCACTTCCAATAAGCCTACCAGATCACGGCTGCTCTCCTCTAAAGGGAATTATGCTAGAAGTTCCTCCGTAGATAGACTGCAGCTGTTCAGGTGGGTCTTTCTTATCCTGTTAAAGTGGAGACGTTGGAATCGCTGCTTCCTCGCCGGCCGCCATGTTGGATCTCCCCTTTTTCCTTTTTTTTAAACACAGGGATCTTCAAAACCCTCCTTGCCGAGTCCTGATCGCAGAACTACGCCCCTTCTGCAGGTTCTCGGTTCCAAGTTGCCGCGAACCGGTTGTTTCTCACGCCCCGGCGGGCCAGGACACACTGAATCTGACCCGAACCTCGAAGGGAGCACCGCAAGCCAGGCGGCCGCCCCGGCTCAGCAGTCTCCGGAGCGCGCTGACAATTGGCGGACCTGATCAGCGAATGAGGCGGAACACCGGGCTGAGCAGATCAGGCTCTGGAGGGAGGCGGGACCGGACGGTCATGTGACTTTTTATCTTGCCAATTTTGTAGGTAAGTAACAATTTTTTATTGTATCTTAACTTGCATTTGGATGATTTTTATTAATCAGACTAAACCCCCTTTCATATATTAACAGGCCATTTATATTTCCTCTTCTTTAAACTCCCTGTTTTTGTCTTTATTGTGTAAATATTTTTTCTATGGTGTTGTCTTTTTCCTATTAATCTGTAGAATATTTAATATATTCTGTCTATTAATCCTTACCAATATCATATGCTGCAAATATCTTCATCTGGTTTGTTAGCTTGTCAGTTTTTATGTTCTTAAATTTTTAGAGTAGTTTTGGATTTATAGAAAAATTGAATAGAAGAGAGGAGAGTTCCCAGATACTTCATCACCTTCCTTATTTTATCTTATTATTAATATCTTGCATTACTGGAAAGTTGTTACAACTTATCAACCTATATTGATGCATTATTAACTAATAATGATTGTTTTGACTTGGGTGTGAGGTGTTCCCCAAAAGCTCATGTGTGAGACAGTGCAAGAAGGCTCAAAGGAGAAATGATTGGGTTGTGAGACTCTTCACCCAATCAGTGATTTAATCTGCTGATAGGGATTAACTGTGTGGTGACTGAAGTGGTAGGGTGAGGCTAAAGGAGGCGGGGAATTAGGGTGTGGCCTTGGTTTATATATTTGTACATGGAAGTGGAGTCTGTGCTTCTTGATCACCTTGATATGAGCTGCTTCCCCTCTTCCACACACTCTGCCATGATGTTCAGCCTCACCTCAAGCCCAGAGAAATGGAGCCAGCCTTCTATGGACTAAGACTTCTGAAATCATGAGCCCTCAAATAAATTATTCCTCCTCTATAATTGTACTGGTCGGGTCCTTTAGTCACAGCCTTGAAAAAGCTGACGAAAACAATGATTTACTTTTGGTTGCATCCTTTGTGTTGCACATTCTATGGGTTTTGAAAAATATATATTATTAGGTACAAACCATCACAGCATGATACGGGATAATTTTACTAACCTAAAAATACCACATTCTCCACCTAGTCAATCCTGACCCCACCTCCCACCAAAACCCTAGCAATCTCTCTTTTTGCTAACTCTATGATTTCGCCTTTTCCAGAATATTCTGTAGTTGAAATCATACAGTMCTGCACCTTTTCAGATTGGCTTCTTTCATTTGGCAGTATGTCAGTAAGGCTCCTCAATGTCTTTTTTTCACGTTAATTCTTTTTATTAGTAGTTGTTCAAAATATTATAAAGCTCTTGATATATCTTATTTCATACATTTGATTCAAGTGGATTATGAACTTCCATTTTTACCCCGTATACAGATTGAAGAATCACATTGGTTACACATCCACTTTTTTACATACTGCCAACCTAGTGTATATTGTATTCTGCTGCCTTTCCTATCCTCTACTATCCCCCTCCCCTCCACTCTCATCCCATCTTCTCTCTCTACCCCATCTACTGTAATTCATTTCTCTCTCTTGTTTTTCCCTTTCCCCTCACTTCCTCTTATATGTAATTTTGTATAACAATGAGGGTCTCCTTCCATTTTCATGTAATTTCCCTTCTCTTTCCCTTCCCCTCCCCCCTCTCATCCCTATTTAATGGTGATCTTCTTCTCATGCTCCTCCTCCCTGTTCTTTTCTTTGTTGCCCTCCTTATATCAAAGAAGACATTTGGCATTTGTTTTTTAGGGATTGGCTGGCTTCACTTAGCATAATCTGCTCTAATGCTATCCATTTCCYTGCAAATGCCATAATTTTGTCATTTTTTAGTGCTGAGTAATACTCCATTGTGTATAAATGCCACATTTTTTTTTATCCATTCATCTATTGAAGGGCATCTAGGTTGGTTCCATAGTCTAGCTATTGTGAATTGTGCTGCTATGAACATTGATGTAGCTATATCCCTATAATATGATCTTTTAAGGTCTTTGGGGAATAGACCGAGAAGGGGGATAGCTGGGTCAAATGGTGGTTCCATTCCCAGCTTTCCGAGGTATCTCCATACTGCTTTCCAAATTGGCCACACCAATTTGCAGTCCTACCAGCAATGTACAAGTGTACCCTTTTCCCCACATCCTCACCAGCACTTGTTATTGTTTGACTTCATAATGACTGCCAATCTTACTGGAGTGAGATGGTATCTTAGGGTGGTTTTGATTTGCATTTCTCTGACTGCTAGAGTTGGTGAGCATTTTTTCGTGTGCTTGTTGATTGATTGTATGTCCTCCTCTGAGAAGTGTCTGTTCAGGTCCTTGGCCCATTTGTTGACTGGGCTATTTGTTATCTTATTGTTTATTTTTTTGAGTTCTTTGTATACTCTGGATATTAGGGCTCTATCTGAAGTGTGAGGAGTAAAAATTTGTTCCCAGAATGTAGACTCCCTATTTACCTCTCTTATTATTTCTCTTGCTGAGAAAAAATTTTTAGTTTGAGTAAGTCCCATTTGTTAATTCTTGTTTTTAACTCTTGTGCTATGGGTGTCCTATTAAGGAATTTGGAGCCCTACCCCACAATATGTAGATTAGAGGTTTGATAGTTCATTTCCTTTTTTCAGTGAATAATGCAGCATTGCATTGGTAGACCTGTTTATCCATTTACCTGTTAAAGAACATTATGGTTGCTTCCTATTTAGCGAGAAGTTATGAATAAAGTCGCTATGAACATTCAAGTGCAGGTTTTTATGTGAACAAGTTTTCAATTCATTTGGGCAAATATCAAGGAGCATGGTTGCTGGACCACGTACTGAGATATATTTGGCTTTGTAAGAAACTGTCAGACTCTCTTCCAAAATGACTGTACCATTTTTCCATCCCACCATCAGTGAATGAGAATTTCTCTTACACCTTCTTGCCAGCATTTGGTATTGTCAATGTTTTGGATTTTCAATATTGTTGTAGTTTGATTCTGAAATGTACTCCAGGGCCATCTGCATCCAGCACAGCCGTCTAACTCAAGGTCACTCAGGGGAAATTCCCAAGGCATTAGAAATAAAACACAGACACAGAATTTACCTTTAAACCAAGCTCCAGAACGGGAGAGCGAGGAACTACAGGAGAGGCTTGAGAGAGAGCAAGCACTCTCTTATTAGGGAAATCTAAATTCTTAGGAAATCCTATCCAATGAAAGTCAAGGGGGGCAGGGTTACAAGGACAGGTGATGTGATTGGATCCCTGGATATGTGGAGAGACACGCCCCTGCACGAAGACAGTCTCACGAACCCTAGAAGGTCCAGGCTAACCAGCAGCCTGACAGCCACCGGATGCCACACCGCTCAGCAGGGGAGTCAGACCTAGTCAGTGCTAGATTGGTCTCCCACACCCCAGAAGTTTGCGTGTTGAAGGCTTGGTCCCCAGCTGGTGGCACAGCTGGGAGGTGGTGGAGACTTGGGGAGATGGAGCCTAGATGGAGGAGGTGGGTCACTGGGACATATCCTTGACCAGTATATCTTGTCCCAGTTGCCCCCCCACGCCCCCTTCCTGGCTGCTAAGAAGTAAGTGGCTTTACTCTGCCACATCCTCCCCACCAGCCATGATATTCTACCTTATCACAGGCCCAGAAACAATGGAGTTGCTCAAAGAAGCTGTGAGCTAGGTGCACTTTGAGCAGAAAAAATAACACCTGCATAGGATGGAATAAATCTCAATGAATGGAAACAGCCTCAGAAATCATCCTCGTCTTCTTTTTTTTAGTCAGACAGAGAGAATTTTTTAATATTTATTTTTTAGTTTTTGGTGGATTCAACATCTTATTTATCTATTTTTTTAAATTTTATGTGATGCTGGGGATGGAACCCAGCGACCCACCCATGCTAGGCAAGCGCACTACCGCTTGAGCCACATCCCCAGCCCCAGAAATCATCTTCTTTAACCTGCCTGCATGATGCACAAATCTACTTTATATTATAGGAAATTTAGTGTCTAATTTGTAGAAAAATGCTTCTTTCTAAGTGTTTCTGTTGTATTCTATATTCAGGTACTACTGGAATAAAAGCATGAACTTATTTTAATTTGAGATCTTTGGAGTGGAAGTAGTTTACAATCTCTTGTCCCCATGTTTCATGGTAGAATACAAAAGAGATCAGAAAAGATCACTGGATGGCAGTATGACACATAAAAAGACACTTGAGGACTTAGGCCATAATAGACTTAGGTTTGCTACCATTAGTTGTGTTATCTTGCACAAGTCATTTGGTTGACTTTAGCCTCTCTTTTCTCCATCTGTAAAATGAGGTCATCATATTATATATATTCCAAAAGTTTGCTACCAGAATCATGGTTTTTCAAGTTCCATTAGTGGACTCCTGAATCAGCAGGTTGCACTAAGTGCATTTGAAAATGACTCCTGGTTTCTGGATTTCCAGACTTGTCTCATGCCCATCACTCAAGGATGGCCAGTGTCTCCTCCTTCCATCTCTGCCAGGGTCAGAGGCTGGTAGGTGGGCCTCCCAGAGGATATGGCATCAGTGAGATAAGAACCTGGTCCTCCCAAGTGGCAAGTCATGTTCACTGTGCTAATGGGTCTCCAGAGTTCAGCCTTGGCTGTGAGTGTAGTCAGGAGGCAGCTCCTTCCTGTCTAGGCATCCTGGGCTTCCTGTGCACCACAAAGGGGCTTTAAGGGTAGACTCTTGGCTAGAAGTAGCAGAGAGGGAGAAACCGTGATTTGCTGAAGGTCTGTGTTGGTGGTAACAGTTAAGATTTTCTAACAGTTAAATCCCTTGGCTGGAGATTTTCTTCTTCCAGCTCTTTGCACGGTCTGCTGGGCTAATCCTCTAACCTGCTTGCTCTGTAGAAAATCCCTAAAGGTTTTCTCTCCTGATCACCTGCCTCTCTCTGTTAATACATTTGTTTTGAACAATACATTTGAATACATTTGTTCCTACCTCTAGGAAAGGATTACAGAGGCTGTAAGGAGGAAGCTGTGAGTTGATATCACTGAACTTGAGCTTCATCTGTCCATCTAGCCACAACCAGATACTAGGGATTATTTT